CACTGCACCCTGACCCACCTACTTGACTGCCTGTGACATCAAGGCTTGGTTAACAAACAATTTGCTTAAACTTTATCAGAGCAAGACCAAGGTGATGGTGTTCCGGAGAGCCATCTCTGACTTGGGACCTTTCAAGGATTTTGTACGTTCCAAAGTCACCAGCCCTGGTGTACCCATGGACAGCGAGTTTAAACTGGACAAACAATTAAATGCCAATTTTTATCTTTTAACCTCTTTGAGCAGCTTTTACACTCTTTTATTTCTAGCCGTCTGGACCACTGCAATGCACTTTATTCAGGCATTAGCCAACAAGCTCTCTGCCGTCTGTAGTTAGTCCAAAACGCAGTGGCTCGTCTTTTAATGGGGAACAGAAAACATCAACACGTTAAACAAATTTTTGCCTCTCTGCGCTGGCTCCCTGTTCATTTTAGAATTTTTTTTAAAGATTTTATTGTTTGTGTTTAGAGCTTTGAATGGTATTGCTCCTCAATACATTACCGACCTCCTCCTGATTTACTCTCCGGCTCGTGCTCTGAAGTCTGAGGACCATCTTCAGCTAATAGTGCCTAAGATGAGGCGTAAAACCAGAGGGGACCAAGCCTTTTATGTAGCTGGCATCCATCTTTGGAATACTTTGCCCCTCCATATACGATCAGCCTCTACAGTGTATTGTTTTAAGTCTCGTCTTAAGGCCCACTTTTATACTTTGGCTTTTAACACTGTGTAATTGTGTAGTCCCATGTGTCATTCTATTTTTTTGTCTTTCTTACTGCTTTTTGTTTGTGTGTTTGGTTTATTGTTTGTTTTTGGGGTTTTTTGTACAGCACTTTGGAAACATTTTTTTGTTGCTTTATGTGCTATACAAATAAAGTGGATCAGATTGGGGAAAAAATGACTCTTAACTTACCCTCTTTTATCTGAAAAGGTAAGCTGATGGACATAACTTTAATATTTACAACTTCCTTCCCTCAGCAGACATTACACCTCTGAACAAAAGACCTGTGAAGTCGCAGACTATGGTGCTTTTTTATTCTCCAGAGTGCCTAAACAACTCTGGTTTCATTTCAGATTGTCATCAAAGAGAAAAGCTGTTGCAAAAACTGGTACTTGGTGCGCCATGCTCCTTTTAATTATACTGACTCATCCATATCTTTGTAGAAGTCTTTCCAGCAGATTAGTTCTCACCATACATCTGAAAGGGATGCACAACATCGCTGAAAATCTCATTTTGATAAAGTGCAGCTATTCAAATGTATAATACAATTGAATAGAACTCTGTGATGGTCCTATTTTTTAGTGTGTGGCTTAAACTGGATATGTCAACCAGAAGGAATCCAGAAATTTCTTGGGCAATGCAGATGACCCTCTGCACAGCGTTATTGTCCTCAGCTGTGAAGCTTGAGTTTCACAAACCCAGCCATTGCATTGGACACTCCCAGGAGAGGAATGGCAGCAGGATAGCAGCAGCTTTTTGTGCAGATTGTTTTTCACCAAGACATGCAGAAAATGTAGCACTTGTTAAAGGCTGGCGAGATGAGGATGCAGAGAATTCTGAAGTTTTTGAGAGTTTCCAAATGTTCTACAGCTGAGGAAAGGCTGTGGTCTTGTCTGATCTTCCTTAAATAAATACTTTTGTTTTATGGGTATTTTTCTTTAAAGGGTCAGTTTTTCTTCCTAAGGCCTGTATGCTTTCTAAACTCCATCTAAGATGAACCAAAAACCACAGTTATACAGTATTTCATTATAGTGGTGGTGGGTTGGGCCTGAGTACATTCATACAGTGTTCTGGAGAAACGATCCACTTAAAGACCCTGTTTTTTTATTGTCACACTTAAATGTTTCAAATCACCACAGAATTTCTTCATGTTGAAGAGAACCTGCCGAAATGCAAAAATGAATTTAAAATGAAACATCATTAGGAATCTTAAAAATCATATTCATGAGCCACTCTAAGGCCTGATAATTAATGGTGGATTGCCTCAAGTTTTTCACTTAGAAGCAATACTTCAGACTTAATTTGTAACGTTCATGAAATACCAAACATCTTCAAAATACATCATTTGGTAAAGTCTTTATGTTGTAGTTGTGTCTGCAAGGTTTTTCCTGCAATCCTTCATCCTAAAAAAAGAAGGTATAAACCATACATACAAAACCATATATCCTTTAAGACTAAACAGTGATTAATGGTTGCATTCTGCTTTAGATAGGCCTGGGATGCAATTGGAGCAACCCAAAGAGAAAATGTAGCATACATAGATTTGCCTGCAGCAGTGTAAGCAAGGGTTTCCACTTGTATAGTAGGTGGGATTATTCTGTGGCCAACACATCGATGTTTGCTTTTCGTTGTGGGACACCATGGTTTAAATTAGGTCTGTTAGACCCATGTAAAATAGAGGGGCTTCTGTAACAACACAAGCGCAAATGCAGCTCAGTGGTTATGAAAGTATTTCTACAAATCACTCAAAGCAAACAAATCCCCTCAACTCCGTCCATCACTTGCTTCTTTGTGGTTGCTGTCATTCCTCTTCAAATATTGGCTGCACTTCACTACACTAGTGACTTTACGCAGTACATAATCCTATTTTTGGGATTCATATTTCAAGAAAGGTATTGTAATTTGTGCCATTTTCCACTCTGTATTTTGTCAGTTTTATTATGTAGAGTTCTGCAGCTTTTGAGCCAAACCACAAAGGAAAAACAAGAGAAGCTGAATACCACAAACTGAGTTCAGACTGGGTGTTTGGTCAGGTTGAGAGACTTAGCTTCTATTGATAGTATTTTTGTCCAGTGGAGGGATATCTGTGTCCCAATACTTCACTAAACATGTAATGAAATCGCACACATCTAGCACTTATGGTTTTCAATAAAGTCAATCAAAACCAGTCTTGCTTCTTCTATCATGGAATTATAATGGGAAAAAAAAACATCCAGGTGCTGTTAATAAAATACAGCTGAGTAGCTCATTATAAGGAATTATCCCAAACTTAATAAAGCAGGAGTCATAACAGGTATTGGAGATTATACTTTTTCATGTTAAAAAGGGCAGACAATAGCCATAAATTTTTCACCAGTTTATAGAGATTTACATTGTTGAAGTCAGAGCCAAAATCAAGTACTTTCCTGCATAGTTCTACAGTTCCAAATGACATTTTGGTTTTCTTTTTCCTAAGTTGCCGGGACCACTGAAAGCAACTAGCTGAGCAAAAGAGCCTTAAATCAGGAGCAATGTCACTCTCTTGGGTTTGTTTTATGATTTGCCTATACTGGAAAAAAAAAAATTCCTATCTTTTTTTTAATAAAATTTAAATCCTGATTGCATAATATTTACAATATTTTGTCAAATAAAGCCTAAGCGGAAGTATTTACCTTCATCCACCTCTGACAGAAGCCAATCAGCTTTGAACCAAGAAATAACATAAGAACAATTAAATAATCAACAAAAAATTGTTTTCCAAAAAAATGTTGTAAATACAGTAATCTTAAGCAGATTGGTAGTCATTCAAAGGCTGCTCCTGCAACTAAAGGTTGTTAAATAACTATATTTAGGTTTTTTTTCCCATGATAGCATTATAGGTCTTCTTAGCCAGTTTTCCTATAACTGTCCATCATAGGCTGGTGCCACTTTTTACTTTGGTATGATAGTAAAAACAGATTTTATATGATGCAGATTCTTTTTTTTCTTGTCAGTGTGAAATGCCTCTGATGCTGCATTTCATGCTAAAGCCGAGGGTTGGTTTTGTTCTAACACCTTACTAAATGTTCACAGATGGTGTGAATTTTGCAGACCTAGCTGTTCCAACCAAACACTCCCTGAGACTGTCTCCGTGTGTGAAAATTTTACCTCCACGGACAGCAGAACCTTTATACAGGAAAACACTTGTTTTTATTATAATGAGAAAGCCTGAGTACTTTATGTCGTTGAATTTCTCTGCGTCATGGTCGCTTTTCATCTGCTTCTCACTCCACCCTTCTAGCTCCCTTCCTGTCTTGTTTTCTTTTCAACTTGCAAAAAAAAAATGTGTTTCCAATTAGGTGGGGAGAAGGGAACAACTCTCACATCTCTTTGGTAACTCTTAAAGTACGGAAGAGCATTAGGGCCACTGAAAAAATAAAAAAAAGTTAACTGATTTTTGAATTTTATTTCTGTATAATTTGAGAGAAAAAGTCAGAAATCTTTCTTTAATCACAGAATTCTCACTTTTTTCTTAGAATTCTGACTTTAATCTCAGAATTCTGGCAGCTAACAAACATGTTAACATCAAGCCATAGTCATGTCTGTTTTAGAGACTAAATTAGCTATCTTGTTTTAATCACCTTCTGCTCTTTCATTAATTAAATAGCATCACCAGGTACCCCGCAGGCACGTAAAAAGTCACCTAATTCCGTCATTTTTCACCAGTGTGTTACTGGCCCTCCCAAACTACTCAAATCTTTGTCAGTGAAGCTGAGAGCTCCCATATCTCTTCCTTCATGGTGCCCATCTACATTAAGATCCACAATTTTGAGATGAAAGTCAGAATTCTGAGATTAAAGTGAAAATTCTGAGAAAAAAAGTTAGAATTCTGAGATTAAAGTCAGAATTGGGAGAAAAAAGTCAGAATTCTGAGATTAAAATTAGAATCTCGAGAAATAGTCAGAACTGTGAGAAAAAAAGTCAGAATTCTGACATTAAAGTTTGAATTTTGACTTTTTTCTCATATTATACTGAAATAAACTTTTAAAATCAGTTAATTTTTTTTTTCATTCTTTCAGTGTCCCTAATACTCTTCCATAGACTTGTTGTATACATCTTTACCTGAATTAACCTAATTAAAACTCATTCTCTATTTTGTTAATCTAAAACAGGCAAACAGGCGCGCCTAGTTTATATAAAACAAAGCTGTGCAAAAAATCTGCAGCCCTGGCATCTTTTCTGCGCACTACATGGCCGTGAGTTAGTGACGTCACTTGTAGACAAAGGTCCCGTCTCGTGCACAGTGTGTCAGTGCTTATGCGTGTGAGGCAAGGAGAGAGACGCGCCAGCGCAGAGAGGCACGGAGCCGGAGCGGAGAGCATCAAGCAGTCTGCATTTGGGGGGAAAAAATCCGAAACTAGTGTGGGGAATCGAGAAAACCAACGACAAACAATAAAAAACAGTAAAGCACTGATAGAACGCATAACTGTGGGCGCTGTGTTAGTATTTGGACTTAAAATGAAAGGTCTATCTGTCTCTCTATTGGATTTGGAGTCATACTTGCGGCGCCTTTGACCGGAGAGTAGCGCATATGCAGAGAGGGTTTGCCAATCCAACTTGACTCAACATTCAGGATCTTAATCAGCGCTTCTCTCTTTGAACATCATCAAGCAGTAAGTATTGATTTTCTTCATTTATTTTTTTAATCAAATCTATTGAAATTTGATGCATTTAGAAAAGTTAATAGAGAAAAAAAAATACTTGGAGCTATATCATCTTCTTTCACACGCATGCTTGCATAATGTGGGCATCTGTACATAATCAAAGCATACCTGCCACGTAGACTCAGCGAGGCAGAGTGCGGCTCTCATAAAAGCTCTGGAGGGAGCGCTAGGTGCCTGATCCCGCAGGGCGCACCGTTATTTCAGCAGTGGATATGGTGCGCCAGGTTAGAGAGGCGCTTTTCTCCAACCTGTGGGAGAATTACTGTTCAGCGCTTCAATTGGGGAGTTAACGGAAGGAGGGAAAGAAAAAATAAGCTCTGGGATTATAAAATGTTGACTTTTTTTTTTTTTTTTTTTTTTTTAGATAGGAATTAGTTTTAAACGTTTCCTCCTCTGCTAGATGTAAAACAAGTTTATCCAACAGTTAAAATATATGCTGTAAAAGATGTGTTGTCCAGAGGAGGAAACCCTTAGTGATGTGTTTGAAATGTTATAAAAACACAATAACCATACCAGACCATATCAAAGACGTATTTCTTGTGGTGTAGGGGGTGTAGCCCCCCCCCCCCTCTTATTTCAAATGCTGTTAACCACTTGTAGTAGCTGGAACGCCCCACAGAGCAGTGACATTCGGCCATTTTAATAATTTATTTTTCATTTAAAGTCAGTTGGAATTACAGTTAAAAATGACTGGCATTTCTTTGAAGTCAAGATAAAGAACTCAAGATGTATGACCTCACAGATAAAGCAGGCCAGGCAGTTCTAATATTTAAGTCTGATTTACTGCCTAAGTCTGTTTCTTAAAAAAAAAAAAAAGACTTCAGAAGAGTTATACAATAGCTTATTCAAATGTTTCAAGAAAAGGTTAGTAAAATATTTTTAGATGTTATGACTTCATTATTATGTAAAAAAAACAAACAACTTTATTAATTACATTGTAGTTGTGCTGGGTTTGCTCCTTTATCTTCCAGATCCACCTTAAATTTATTTATCGCTGATTTAAGTGACAAAAACTTAAATCAGTGACAAAAATATTTAAGGCATGTTATATTGAATACATACATATTAATGCATGCTATAACATGTATGGAACCATTTCTAATGTAGGCTGTGGTGTGAGAGGTGAAGAGTGTGCCAACAAGATATCCACCTACACCATCAAAAAGTGTATAATTAATACATTTTTTTTTCTCATTGTTTTATTTTCTAAGTTTAATGAGTTGGTGGCATGGTGTTTCTTAACTGACAGGAGTGGCACCTGGTGTGGTCCTCTGCTGCCAAAGGTCATCTTCTTCCAATAGCATTTTCAGAGATGGTGGTCTGCAATCCTTGGTTGCATCAAGTGGTTATAAGATGTGTTTTAGTTCACTTAGTTGTTTTTCTTTGAAAATTTGTCATCATTTGGACGCCACTGCATAACATCAAGAGAGTTTTCTGTACAAGATACAATTTTTTTTTCTGAATTCTGTGACCAACAAGTAATTTCCTTTTTTCACAGTTGCTGCTTGGTTTTAACTCCCACATCCTGTCTATATCATGTGTGGAAGCACTCATTTGATACCACGGGACAACATCATTTTGAACTAACAATCAATTCTTACATTAGACTGGAAGGAGGAAAAATCTTGGGTACTTAGAAGCCAGAAGAGTGTAGTGATGTGATCTGTGAACCGAAGTGACCTCTGTGCCAACAAAGGGGTATGATTTCATCTGAGTGATAAACATTTATAACTTATAACATAAAACGCTCAGTTTAATGGAAAATGCTTCTGTCCATAGACAACTCATTTCTCAGCAGAAGCTCTTTTTGCTGTTGTGGGTTGTCATTTATCATTATGAATTCGCATCCATGGAATGTGCAGATGTTTGCAGAACTATCCATGACTAAATATCAGTATGAACAAAGCCAAGCATTTGCAAAGCCCTATTGCTTCAAATACAAGGATGCACGCTGCACATTTGTGTGATTTTCAGTTAGTTGATTTTCAAAATTATGATTTTAATGTAAGCTTGTCACATCTCTCAAAAAGAGGTAATAATTCACCTATCCACAGCATTCATTCAATCTTAATTATCTCCATAGACCTTGTTTAGATTAGGATAGGTCACGCACTCCAATATCAAGCAGTCCATATGTTCATTAGTTGGAAAGCTTTAGATTCTCATGAGGGGATTTCTTTTTCCGCATTATAAAGAGTAATATTCAGTGGCCTTGGTATCCTTATGTGACCCTCCTTTACCTGCTGCTTCAAAAAAATTAGTCTATTTGTTCATAAAAATAAACAAAAAAAGCATATTACTTACCAAAAGCTACAGATTATTCCCTCAGAAAAACAATCTGTATTCTAGTTCACCTTTACATTTTTACCTAACAACATACGATATTTCCAGTGCCTTCAGAGCTAATTTAACGCATTGCAAAGGTCTACTATCATCCTTCTTTTGATGTAATGTTATCTCTTCAGGAGTTCAAATGGTATGTGTTCAGAAGTCTGAGTGTTTTTATTAGTTTATTCACAAGAGAGAGTGAAGACACTGTTTTCTGCCACCCACTGACAAAGACCACAGGGAGTCTTTGATGCTATAGGGGTCTGCAAGGGCCATTTGCACTCCTGCAGATAGATTAGGTCAGTCACTTTCAAGCTCGTCTAATTAGAGTTTCTTGATTTATTTTCCAGAATGAATCCTGTTCATATTTTACAGCTAAGGAAATTCTATTAAAAAATAATTGATTTTGAAATGAGGTTTAGAACACTAAGGTATTTAACCGTCTATGTGTATTTTAACCTATTTGAACATTCCAAGTGATAATTAGATATCATCAACCAATTGATGAAAGGATTTAACTCCGAATTAAACCAGAATATTTTTTTTTTCTGGTATCATCTTGGTGCACCCATTAGGACATCTGAAACAATATCATAAATGTAAATTTTATTGCAAAATAATTTTCCCCTTTGGCTTTTTACCTATTTTGTTCCATTCCAGCCTTTAGTAAAATGTTTTTAAACCTCGATATATGTGTTTTATCTGCACAAAAGAGCTTTAACTTGAAAAAATAAAATGGGGAAAATTGTCAAGTCAATTTATATCCACCCCTTTTACTGTGGAGATCATAAAAGGTCCTGGTTAAGACTTCACACACTAAGTGAAATGAAGTCTACCAGAGGCTGAAACAACACCAAGCATAGGGATCCCACCAATAAGACCAAGGAACTCTCCAAACAAGTCAGGGATAAAGCTATTGAGAAATACAAGTCAGGGTTAGTTATAAAGAAATATATAATCTTTAATGTTCCCCCAGAACACCATCAATCATCTTCAAATGGAAAGCACATGCTGCCTCAATGATTTTGCTATGAGATCTACCCACCAAGGGCAAGAACGACATTAATCACAAAGAAGGCATAAAAACCAAAGGTAAGCTCAAATGAGTTGCAGAGTTTAACAATAGAGACTGTAGGCTGTGTTCATAGGACAACAATAAGATATATTGTACATTATATAGAGCTGGGCTTTATTGAAGAGTTATAAGAAAAAAAGGCTTTGTTAGTGTTTAAAAGAAGAAGGTGCATATAGAGTTTCCTGAAAGGCATGTGAATGTTCCCCATGATCTGGTCAGATGAGACAACAATGTGAATTTCTGGCCAATAAGGAAGGAAGGATGTCTGCAATAAACCAAACATATCCCAGAACCTCTAGAACACCATCACCACATTGAAATGTGGTGGTGGCAACATCATGCTGTTGGTAGTTTCTACTAGGAGCAGTGATTGAGAAACTCATCCAATTAAATGGGAAGATGACAATGCCAAATTGAGGAAGGTTGTTTGGCAAAACCAGTGTCTGTTTGCCTTGGATTTAAAACTTGAGTCGTGATTGACATCCCAGCTGGACAATGATAAGAAGCCTCTACCAATAATGTGATGCAGCCGTTTTGCATTAAGGAATGGGCAAAAATCCTAGTGCCAAGATGTAGCAAGCTCATAAAATTGCAGCTGTAAATGGTGCAGAAGGTTGATCTACAAACTACATTTATTTTTGTTGTTTTTTCACAAGAAACCATTTTAATTTTAGGTTGTAAGGCAAAAGAAATAAAAAAAAGTCCAAGGGGGATGAATACTTTTGCTTTCTACTGTAACTGGAAATGATAATTATTGCAATTTCATCTTTGAACCAGTGTGGCATGCATATGTATTCGTCAACACATCACTACAGGGAATTGTATTTTTTTTATTTATTTTTTAGAGAAATGGGCTCCAATAAATTGTATTTAGGAATATCAGAAAAAGGGAGGCTAAGTACAAAATTATTACACACTTTTCAGACTTAAAAAATAAAATTCAAGTGAAGTGAATTACAAATTTGTGATTAGAAAATGACAAAAACGAAAAACGCTTCTCACTGCTGATGTTAGCTCTTGATTACCTTTAGGTTGTAAAATGGGAACATGTAGTATGTTAAGGGTTAGTATGATAACATGACAAAAACAGACTTTTCTTTAACCTCATTTCAGTATGATGTTCTATTTTCCATATAATTTTAATTTGATACAATCACTTTTTTTTAAGTATAAGACACATATTAAAAAAAACTAACAACAACAACAAACGATGCAGCCAGGGATGAGATAGTTCTCAGAAAGCCATTGGTTTCCTGAGTTACCGTAAAGCAACAAAGTCCTTCACTTTCCCACTCATAGACCTGAAAGGATTACAAATGCATGCTCATCTGGGAGTTATTCCGCAACTTGTGAGAGGCTTTAAAAGGAAAACACAATTCGAAGAGTGAAGTTGACGCTTCTGACTTTTGACCTTCTTAGTAAAGATAAACAAAACTCCCATCGCAAAGATGTGGTATCTCCCCCGCAGACAACTGTTTCATGTTTCCCTACATGAGCCCTGACATCCGTCAGGCAAAAGGGTCCTTAGAACATTTGTGTTGTGATT